GAGGGGTGAAAAGCATAACTATTGCATTGTTTTGTACACCTGAAACTAATAATAATAATAATAAAAAAGATGGGCCGGCTGAGAACCTAGCCAGCCAGAGATTCCAGAAGTACCATTAGGCCACTCAAAGTGTTTGCAACCCTTGCTGCGCTGCACTCCCTGCTCAGAGGAATTGGCACTGAAGGGCTTCCCGATCCTTTCTGTGACGTGCCTGCCCCTGAGCGCCCCTGAGCTCGGCACACCCCAGCCTTCTCATAGTCACTGGGATGGGTACTGTTCCTCCCTCCCTCCCCAGCCCAAATCCTTTTAAACAACAACAAGCCTGGCACAGTCACAAAGTTTCTAAGAATGTGCAGCAGCAGCCAGGGAAGACTTTGTGGTCCAAGCTCAACCTCTAGTGGACACACGACTACATGACAAAACTGTCCAGACAGGCAGCAGGCCTGATGGGGCAGGAAACAAGTGATGGCTCAGGCTGGTCCCCCCACCTGGGAAGACTGCTCGACCTCTCAACTCAGGCTTCCATGGCAGCAGCAAAGAGTCACCTTTCAAAATTTTGTCCTGTACCATCTGAGCCTTAAAAGGTAAGAGGAGCTTTCTTACTACGTATTCCTATGAATTCATTGAGGACACCATTTGTCATCTTTCGTACAACTTTTTAACATATCAAGATAGCAGCTATCTCTCAATGCCATGTATATCTAAATATCTAAAGAGCCATATAATACAATTCTGACTGCATTATATTTTAGCAAAAAAAAATAATAAGTTACCTCAAATTTACATGCCTTGTGTTGTCAAGAAATTTTTTTTTAATCATAACCACGCTGTTTCATTTTGTCTGAAAGACAGGCAATACTTTATTGTTCAAGTATTGTAATTCGATTCCATCAGTCTGTTCTATCCCCAACTGTCTTCTCTTGTACTACTATAACGTTAATCTAGAAAAACACCTCAAATCCTTTGTGATGCGAGGTGAATGGGATTTTTTTTTCTTTCTACATAGCTCCCAACTTCCTTCTCATTTCCTCTTCGAGTCTCATTTTCTCTCCTTCCTTTGCTCCCCTGTCCTCATCCTAAATCTCAGTCATCTCTGATTCCCTCTTGCAGCCTTTTCACAGGATGAGAGCTCCAGCAGATGGGATTCTAGACCACAGATAAAGGACAGAAGCTGGGGCCCAGGAGGAACCAGAGACACGGACTAATCTCTCCAACACAGACTCCAGAATTGAAGATCCGTGGTGGTGTGTGCAAAAGGGCAACCGACAGTGGGTGGGGCAGTTCTTTTCCTTCTTACCATTTCCTGAGCTGTCACGGCAATGGCTTTGGAGTATTTCACCACAGTTGTCTGGTAGTCGACAAATGTTCCCTTTGGTTCTGGAGGAGTGCCTTCGTCCAGCTACAGAGAAGAGTTTGAAAAAAGCCCAAAGGTCATAAGGGGTTTGAGAAGTGTGGACTGTCTTTAGTAGACTTGGGAACTTGGAAAAATGGAGAGGACCTCCGAGTTAACAGAATCCCCCAACTTCTACAATAAGGACTTCTAGAGGTGCATGCAAGGCACTTGGGGTACACAGGCAAGGAGAGGCCCCCAGCCTTGCCTGAGAGGACTGGGAGGGCTTTTCAGAGGGCTGATGTTCCCTGCAAGTCTTCCGGTGCGGGGGGAGGGAGAGTTTGCTACATACACAAGGTGGGTAAGGTGTCCCAAAGAGAGGGAGTATCATTCAAGAATATAAAGGTGAGTGTGAGCTGGACACTTCCAGCAAAGCACAGAATAACGGAAATGAGTGGGGAGGCAGAATCTCCATCATGAAGGACTTCCCTAGGAATGATGTAGCCCACAGACGTCTACACCCCAGATCCCTCACTTCTGATCTAAGTTGGGCAAAGAGAAAAAAATTAAAAGCACGAGATATAATTTGTCCGACTCCAAGTGCAATAGGAATTGAGAGAAGGGTGAAATCACTGTGGGGTGGAAGAGTTGGAGAAGCGGGACCATGGCTCTGTCCCTTGAAGGGTTAGCGACACATTGGTTTAGAAGGCTTGTCTTTAAGACCTGGTTCCAGGGCTTGTGAATGGACCTCAGGCTGGTTGCTTAAACTCTCGGAGTCTCAGGTTCTTCACTGGAAACTTCTAAGCATCAGAAGTTTGTAGTAATGATCAACTGAGATCATACCTGGTCAAGAGCTACATGAAGGAAGAGGTGATATGACCACCATAATGAAGACAGTAATAATGATGATAATGTCAATGACGATTATGATGAAGAAAAAGGCAACCCATCTTCACCATCATCATCGTTCCTGGCACTATTGGTTGCTGAATGATACTCAAGGTGAGGAGACATGGTGAATAGAAATGAAGGAATGAGTACAGTGACCCAAAGGGGGCTGTGGAGAGTGATGGGAATGAAGCCGGATCTGTTTAACGAAGAACTTTGAAATGGTGAGAAAAATGATGGGATTTGGCTTGGGCAATGACATATTTGAGAAGATCTCTTTGGCAGCTCTGCCAGACCGCTGGCAGTCAAGGAAGAGCCTCGAGGCCAAGAGGGCAATTAGGAAAATGTGAGATGGAGTTTTCGATAGGAGCTACACCTCACGAGCACGCACAAATTACAATGTGAGTTGAAGGAAACTATTGTTATAGCCTATTTGCGATGTGTCTGCACGGCCTGGGATAGAATTATCACCAAACCATCAATGCAAACTCCAGGTTAGATTTTAAGTTTATTTATCAAGGAGATAGATGCTGCCAAATATTAATATCTTAATCACACCATAGGGGCCCTGCTGGTCAGATGAAGGCTGGGTTGTGGACTCATACACTCAGTATAAACTGGGCATCTGCTAAGTGTCAGGAGATGTGCTGGAAGCCGTCATATGAGATGTGGCGTAACAGCAAACATGCCAGGATGTTGGAACTAGAGGGTAGCTTAAAATATAGGAGCGACCAGTCACCAGGATGAACCTTCTACTAGTTTGATGACAAAGAAAAAAGTAAGAATGGAGGTGTGATTTAAAATTTTTTCAAATTTATTTAGTGTAAAGAACTTTCCTTTACTCTGAGATTATAGCCTTTCTATTGTTTTTTGATGTTAACATGGCCTTTCTTTTATGAGATGATAGTGGTGTAGACAGTGGTTTTTTAATTTGTTTTGTTTCTTTAGTTTCTTTCTGGCCAACCACTCCTCCTCACCCCCACAAACAAACAAACAAAGAAAAAGTACTGGATCACAAAATCCCAGAGGTCAAGAACCACTAACCTCACTGAATGGGGAAACCACGGTTCAGAGAGCTTGAGCGATTTGTTCGAGGTCACCCAGAGAGCTGATTATTTCCTATTAATTTATTAGTTCCCAAGGCTTCTGGGGCTTAGCTACAGAGAGGGAATCTTGAGAAGAACCTCCACAGCAAAAGCCTCAACAGTGTCAAGAACTGCATCCCAGTTAGAATCAACTTTGGGGACATTCACACTTTCCTGCCAGTCATTGTCTTTGAGAATTTTCGACAATGATTCTAACAGTATATCAGTATTTTAACCAAATAACTGAAACTCTGAAAGAAAACGCCAGATTTCTAATGCCTCACTGCTTAGGAGCTCAAAGGACCTGAAGCACCACTTACTACAAAGTCGCCCAGCCCGGGCAGGCTGGGGTGGGCTGAGTCAAGGGAGAATGACGAAGAGGCACTGTGGGGTACACCTTGGGTGTCAGGTCAGGGTAGATGAGAATTTAGGGGTACCAAATAAAACCCCAACTGTATACTCGGTAGAACTGAGGGAAATAAAAACTCTGTTCCTGGCCTCTGTGGCTCATGTCATTAGCAGTTCCTCATTACTGGCATCAGGTAAGCCAGGCTTGTCTCCCAGCCCTTCCAGAAGAATCCATGCCACTGACAGCAGATTGGACAACAGCTGCTTTCTGTGTTGAAAATCCATCACAGCACGTAAGGCTCACGGGCTATCAAAACAAGGCTTCAGGAATCCGACTTCCATCTTCCAGGGATTTATGGAACGTTTTTCCTATCATTAGAGTGATTGTGAAAAATACCTTCTCCCGAGAAGACAGGGATTATCATTTGGATTTCTAATTAGTACTGAGAAACCTTGAGCACCATTATTTAATATCCATGGTAGATGTATGGCTCATTTTCAAGCTCTGGTTTTCTGATGTCCTGAAAACCAAACAAACCCACTGAGACTTATCTAAGGGCCCTGAAAAAGGGGGAATTTCACTCATTTTCTGTCAAACTATCCCTATGTGAAGCGTGAGAAACCCACAGCAGAAATTACTTTGACAGGCAGAGCCTGGGGTTTCAAAAGGGAGCCCCAGCGTCCCTGCCCAGCTTGTGACTTTATCAGTCTGATAATGACTGTATAATGTTTAAAGGGAATTATCCTAATTATAGTTTCAGGCTATCATCTCTTTATGGAGATACAAACCAACCAATCTTCTCTAAATTAGCAATTAAAGACTGCTTATTATCCTGAAAAATCATAAGAATGTATTCACAACCTGACAATGGACATGTGAAAACACAGACAATGTCTAAATGGCAATTAGATGTTGATGAACAACTGTTAATTCTAATGACTATCAAACTGACATGACTAGTGGAGGATTCCTTGGGGGAAAGAGCTGAAGATACAGAGTTAAAACTGTCTCGAGTCATAGTTCCCTACTGACCCAACTCAACCTATGGGTCGCTAGAAGAGAAATGATTCTGTGTTATCTTCTATGTTCATTGCCCCCCGGGAATTCTCTAAAGGCTTTTACGCATATTACTTTGGTGGCTTCTGCATCGGGCTAGATACCAGAACCATGGGGAAATTTGAAAAAGACAAATAGAGGTACCTGGCCTCCATCCCATAGAGATTCCAACTGAGCAGGGCTGGAGTAGGGCCCAGGGATATGCATTCTAACATGATCCCCATGATTCCAAAGCAGCCATTCCAAAACTTGGGAATCACTTCATTATTTCATTCTGGTGTTTGTTCCCCACAACTCTGTGAGGTAGACAGCGGAGGCAGATAATTATTTCCATTTTATGAGTGAGGGAATCAATTGATACCTCCTCCGTCTCCACTTTTTCCCCCTGTGTAAAATTGGAAGGAAGGGCACAACTGGAATACCAACGTAATCAATGAAAATGAAGAATGCATAATGTGTTGGATGTATGATAGGACATCTGTGCATTAATCAGAACCCTCAAGAAATGAGGAGGCTTATTGGAATCAGCCTTGATGGATAAGTCCTTAGAGAAAAGCACCTGGGGACCAAGTCTGAGGGAACCCGAGGAGGAAATGAGGTGAAGGAGTGAGGGCGAGTGTCTGGGAGCCCAGACCCACCTTGCTCATGGCTTCTGCGATGGCGTCGACCATGCCTCCCACCAGCCCCACTTCACTGGCAGCTTCGTTCAGCGTCACCATGATGTCGTCCACGGCCTCCTTCATGAGCTGGGCAGCCTCCGTGATGGCATCATGCGTGTGCTGTGCCTGAGAAGGGAAAGGCAGAGAGAACTGTGAAACGTCTCTTTAAGCAGAAGAAAATGGTGCCCAGTCTCTTCAGAACCATGTCCCTTTTTTTAAGAATAACCTTAAAAAGCAGAATATAAAAATATATCCCCGTTATGGAGCATAGCAATGTAGTCTATATTTGTACTTTCCTTTATTATGTTTGTGTATAGGTTTGCAAAATCAGAAAGACAAATCAAAAAGATCTCTTTTTATTATCAAAAGGAAAAATAAAACTATAACATCAAACAAAGCGTCTTATGACTAATTTTATGTTACTATGTTCAGGGTGGTAGAAAGAGAATGGCACAGATCCCCAAATATACAAGTGGACATATATGATAATAATAATAATAATAATAATAATAATAATAATAATAATAAAAGCTGATATAAAAGAAAATGTGTTCAGGGCCGGCCGAATGGCTCAGTTGGTTAAGAGCTCGCTCAAGAGTTTGAGCTCTGAGCAACAGCGGTTCAAGGCCAGCCCGAGCTGAGCAGCCGCTAAGCTGCCAATAGGTAGCAGGATGGCTCAGCTAAAAAAAAAAAAAAAAAAAAAAAAAAAAAAAAAGTGTTCAAATGCATTTCTCTTCAAAGCTGCCCAAGACACTGTAATTCCCAAAGAAGACTGGATTATGAAAATGCAGGTACATACAAGAGACATAAATCCATAAAAGACCTAGCGGGCTTTCGAACTATGTCACAAATTAAACCGCGATGAGGTTGGAGGAATGAATGAGGAGAGTTCTTCAGGGAAAGAAACTCCGCAGACAAAGCCCTGAATGGTCATGACCCCATAAAATAGTACCTTGGAAATGCTTTCACTGCAGGCATTTCCCTGTGTGAGAAGCACAGAGCAGGCGCTGAGTGAATGAATGAATGAATGAAAGGATGAAACAATGGTGGGGCCCGGCTCCCTGAAAAACACCTCAGATGGCAGTAAGATGCAGGAAAACCTGGCTTCTAGTTCTCTGCTCCATGGCTAAGTAGCTAAGTGGGCTTGGCTTCCTAAGCAAAATGGAAATAATTATAAGAACGTCATGCAGTGGAGTTCTGATGAGATCATAGCGGGACAGGCACCTTGTCAATTTATATTAAGAGCAGTCTAGTCGGGGCTTGAGCCCATAACTGGGAAATCTGACCTAATGCCGGGTTGGTAATATCAGAATTGCACTGCACCCAGGCACCCCATGCTGTGGCCATGGCAGCTCCAGCCCACCCTCAGAGGGAGGTGACCGTTTCAGAGTCCAAGAGATCGCATCTTTAATTTGATAGATGAGAGTAAGGAAGCCAGTGAGAGATGGTCAACAACAACCCTTCTGAGTGATTTAAACACAAGAAAAGAAAGAATTCCATGAAGAGGGCATGTGAACCAAGAAGAGTTCTTCCAAAATGACATCTCACAAGATGCAAAATATGTTGATCACATATGGTATCCTTGAGGCAGCTGTGTCGGGATGTAAATGTTAATTATTGACGATTACTACTGAAATTACTTTAGAAGATAACAACGAAAAATTACCTGGAGCAACAAACATTCCTCAAGTCTTTACCAGGCTGTGTCCACCTGTATTATTTCTCAGGCCCTCCATGGCGGGGCGAGGAGGCAGCCTCTATCTCTAGATTTATTTCCCCTCCCCGCTGGCTAGCCTCCTCACAGGTCAACTCTCTTACCCTCTGTCCACAGTAACTGGCTCTGTATGCCTCCTCCCTTCTCCCCTCCATCCAAATTGAGGCCCCAGACCTGGGAGTGACTGAGCCTTAGGTCATTCAAGCCCCTCCACCATCTGACTACAATGGCAGGAGGGACCCTGGGTGAGAAAACTACCTCTCAGAGCTCTGCAGATCTGCAGAGCCACCAGAGATAATATTAAGAAGGTGTTAAGCAACTAAGTTTTAGGATGGCTTGTTTTTGGCAATAGCTAACTGGAATAGTATCTAAGAAGGGCTCCTAACCTAGCCCTGGGGTCCAGGAAGCTTCTTGGAGGAGGTGTCCCGGCTGTGAAGGTGAGACCTGGAGGAGGAATCCAGACACTAGCAGAGCTGATGGGGTGGGGAAGAAGGGCGGGGCCTTCCAGGCAGAACACGCCGCCTGTGCAAAGGGCCAGAGGTGAGAAGTAATGTGCATTGTGAAGATGAGGTGCGGCACCATCTGTAAAGTGTATGGCATAATACCTGGCACACAGTTCCTGTCCCCCTTCCGTTATCTCTCACCCAGCCCAGCTCATCTCTCCAACTAGACCGCGTGCTCCTTACAGACAATTTACTTTGCTTCCTTCTAGCAACGCAGTCTTCACAGGAAATGAAGGGCTTGATAAAGTCACCAGGTGGGGCTCAGTAATGGGTGAGAACTTTATTTTCCAAGAAATTTTTACAAGGATAACCTTCACAGGCTGTTGGTACAAACTTCTCCTCTGGAGAAGCTGATTTGGAAATAAATGGAACCATCTGTTTCTATGCTGTGAAACAGGCATGGGTGGCAGAGCCGTGGCTTGGGGGAGTCAGAACAGAAGGGCCCTCCTGTGCCACAAGCCAGGCTCACTCAGGCTGTGATGACATTAGCTCTTCCAACTGGACCAAGAACACCTGGTAACAGTCATGTGGGTGCTGGCAAGATGCCCAGGGCTCCAGGGGACTTCGTACAGCGCAAGAGCCAACCTGTGGGCCCAATGTGACTTGCATACCAGTTCTAAAATCTACGTTCTTGTATCTTGGGTCAAGTATTTCAGCATTTTACGGAGAGGGAACCAGGAACAACAATAAGTATCAAACCACATAACAGCAGCAGTAGCGAAGAGAGCTGCCAGCATCTATTGGGTTGTCAGAAAAGTCATGATATATTTTGTCTATGTTTTTCAAAGGTCATTTATTTATATAAAGAACAAAGATCAATCAATGATATATTGCCCGTTTTGTTCGATAAGCTTTTGCCATCTTCCATCAAACTTCATAATTCCTCGTTCATAGAAGGACCTGTCTTTACTTGCGAAAAACTGAACAAGGTGCTGATTTACAGCCTCATATGAATTGAACGTTATACCACGCAAAGAGTTTTGAAGAGAGCGAAACAAGTGGAAGTCTGACGGCACAAGGTCAGGCGAGTATGGTGGGTGTGGCAACACATCCCATCCAAGCTCCAATAATTTTGACGGGAGATCAAACTTGTGTGTGGTTTCGCATTGTCACAATGGAACACAACTCTTGTACAATTAACAAGCTCTGGATGTTTCTGGATGATGGATTCATTCAAACTGTCCAATTGCTGACAGTACACATTCGAATTAATTGTTTGGTTCCTTGGTAGGAGCTCGAAAAACATGACACCTTTAAAATTCCACCACACTGAGAGCATAACCTTCCTCTGATGAATGTCTGCTTTCGATGTCGTTTGAGGCGAATGATCATGTCAGGACCAAGACCGTTTGCACATCACATTGTTGTAAACAATCCACTTCTTATCACTAGTTATCAGTTGCTTCAAAAAAGGGTCGTTTTCCTCAAATTTAATGAGCATATTGCCGATGTTTATACGAGCCATGAGTTCATGTGGAACCCAAATATCGAGATTGCTTACATATCCCAGCTTCTTCAGGTGGTCGTGAATACTTGAATGATGGATGTTCAATGATTTTGCAATCTCTTGTGTCGTGTAACATGGGTTTGACTCAATCAATGCCTTTATTTTGTCGTCATCAACCTTGGTGGTCCTCCCTGACCAAGGAGTGTCATTGAGATCAAAATCACCAGCACAGAATTTCATGAACCATCATTTGTACTGATGTTCTTGTAGAGCACTGTCACCGTAAACTTTATGCAACTTTTTACAAGCTTGACGCGCGTTCTTCCCTTTATGGAAGTAAAACAGTAAAATATGGCAAAAATGCAGTTTGGTCTTCCATCTTCAGCTTGTTGTAAAATCTCCAAAACTCAACCAAATTGCTCAATATTTTTTTTAAAATGAAGCTAGAACTGTCAGCTGTCAAATGACATAGCAATAACATAGATGTGAATGATGCTAGTATTTCCACAAATGAACTAGTGCCATCTGTTGCAAACATGCGTCATGATTTTTCCAACAACCCAATAAGAGGGACTCCTCGGTGCCAGGCACTATGCTGATCCCTGCTGTGTGTCTCCTTTAACCCCCACAGCCCACTGGAAGGTGGGGATTGGACGGTATCCCTGCCAGGGGCCCCTCTGACATTCACAACCTGAACTTGGGGGCTTCAGCACTAGAGCTTACATATCTAGTGGATGACAACCGCCACCGACCAGCTGGCCATCTGCTGAACTTATATGCTACTGATCCAAAGGAAAATGAGCATATGGCCAGATCAGATCAAATCTATCAGTGCTGCTGAAAAAATAAACCTTAATGCAGGGAATATGCCATCTACAAGGGAAGGTTTCAGCCTGTTCCCCCAAACAAGGGGCTTTTGAACAAGGCAAAGCCACCTGGGTACCACGTGACAAAGGCAAGGGGCCTCAGGACCTGCCTTACTCCTAGAGATTGGCTGTGCTGCCCTCACTCGGTGCCTCCTCTGCATTTCAGCATCAACCTGGCCCCGGCTCTCTCAAGTCTGTCTGCCATCGTGGGCTCCACACCTGCCTATGAACTTGTTGCCAGTTCACAGTTCCCAAATTTGCTTCTTGGAGCTCCCCAAGGCCCAGCCTACATATGCCTTCTAATTCCCGGCCGCTTGCTACCAGAAGGGACCCTGGAAGCTCACTCAGGGTTGAATAGTAAAATATTTGGCTGGTCTTTGTCCCAGGTTCCTCAGGGGGAGCCTCTAAGCAAGCACTTAGCGCTTCCGGAGTGACAGGAGGGTCTCTGTTATCCACGGTGGGCTCCTCGGACCACACATCAGTTCATGCTAACAAGGTGACCTATGGTGGCCCCTAGGCAGTTTCGGGACAGGGGCTGGTCATGCTGGAAAGACCAACCAGGTGATTAGAGGGTTGGGGCTTTGAGGGTTGAGCCA